GGTTTGAGTTTGGTCATAAATGATCACTCAATCAGAGTTCCACTACTCATTGAAGAATGCAATGGCAGGGATGATATACAAGAAAATATTCTGGAATGGTTGAAGCGAGACAAGGTTACAAGAATTGCAGTTTGGGGAATGGTTGGTGTGGGCAAGACAACAATTATGAAGCAAGTCCACAACCAACTATTGAAAGAATTGAAATTTAACAAAGTTATTTAAGTAAAAGTGTCAAAAGACTTTGACATTATTGTTCGGCAAAAAGAGAGGTTTGATATTTTCAAGTTTCAAAAAAGGATTGCAAGTAGCTTGGAATTAAAACTAGAGCCAGAGGATCACGAGAATGAAACCAAGATTACAGGATTGATTTCACAAAGGTTGGGGCAGTGCAGCTTCGTGCTAATTCTAGATTATGTGTGGGAGCCTTTCTCTCTAGAAGATGTTGGAATTCCTGATCTAGTTAGAAATAATGATTCCTAGTTAGTGCTCACGACACGGTTACAACATGTAGCTCATGTAATGGATTGTAAGGTGATCGCGGTGAATCCTCGTCCAGCTAATGAAGCATTAGCATTATTCTTAGAAAAAGTTGGAAGTGATGTGTTATTAGCTGGCAAAATTAGAGGAGATATAAAGCCATTTTTGGAGCAAATTTTACAAAAATGGACGGAGTACCCCTTGCTACTGTGACAATGGCAAAATCAATGAGAGGGAAATTACATCCTCGTCATTAGAAGTTTGCACTTTCTGAATTTAGTATATTTGATAGCATTGTTGATTGTTTGAAATTCAATTATAAATGCCTAGAACTACAATGCCAGGAGTGCTTTTGGTACTGTGCATTATATCTTGAAGATTGTGAAATCCCAAAGGAGGAGCTAATTGTGTATTGGATTGAGGAAGGGTTTATACATAAAGAAGGGAAAAACTATGGAGGCAATGAATTGGAAAGGTCATGATATACTTGATAAGCTGTTGACAACTGCTTGTTGGAATCGGTTAAAAATAAAGACAAAGAAGATCGTGCAAGTATGCATGATCTTCTCTAAGAAATGGCGTTGGAAATCAGTCCTCAATTCATGGTGAAAGCTGGCATGGCCTTGAAAAAGCTACCAAAGGAGCATGAATGGAGTGAAGATCTTTTGAAGGTTTCTTTAATGGGGAATTACATAACAGAAATTCCTTCAAGCATGTCGTCTTTGAAGTGTCCTATACTCACCAACCTTGCTATTGTCCAATAACTAGATTTCAACAATTCCAAAAGCTTTTTTTGAGCATATGCTTGGGCTCAAGATTCTTGATCTCTACCCAAATAGGGGGCTAAGTAGGCTGTCGATTTATATTTCCAAATTGGAGAAGCTTACTACATTATTGCTAAATTGGTGCGATTCCTTAATAAAGGTACCATCTTTATCCAACCTTGTAGGCTTAAAAACGTTGGACCTTTCCTGGACATCGATTGAAGAACTACCCCAAGGCCTCAATATGTTAACAAATCTAAAATATCTTGGTTTTGCTGGAAGATTATCAGAAACACTTGATGAAGTGCTACAAAATCTCTCCAAACTTCAACATTTAACAATAAATACCTACACAAAATTTAAATGGGAGAAGATTGAAAGTTGGGGGAAGCTTCAAAACCTTGAGAAGTTGGATCTTTGTAATTTGGATAACTTGAATGTTGTGTTTGGGGAAATAGGAGTAGTTGCTAAGTTAGCACCACTAGTAGTTGGCACATTTTCCTCTCTTCAATATATTAGTGTTTATAGATGTGATAAAATAACGAAGTTATTCTTAGTTAGGTGGTTGGGGTATCTCCAGAAACTACAGACTATTTATGTCAGTAGTTGTGAGCAACTGGAAGAGATAATAGGGTTTAAATCTGAAAGAGAAAAAGTCACTCTACCCAAGTTAGAAAGCTTGATGTTGATCGAATTGCCCCAGTTGAGGAGCATCTACAATGATTCTTTGATTTGTGATTCCATCAAGAAGATTGAAATTTGATTTTGCAACATTATAGAGTGTTTTTGGATCAAGGTTCAACCCACTTCCAAATCTTGAATATCTATAACTAGTCGATTTACAGAATCTAAAATCCGTGTTTAATGAAAAAGGTCTTGGTTTATTGCCACTTTTACCTCCCACAAGCTTTTTCTTTCTTAAAGAAATTAGGGTTTATTGGTGTGATCAATTAAAAAGGGTATTCTCATCTAGGTGGCTACTCTGCTACTTCTAATCTCTAGAGACTATTGAGGTTGGATGTTGTTGGGAAAATGGTGGAGCTGATATCATCATTGGCACATGAAGAAGAAAAAGTCACTCTACCAAAGGAGCTGATATCAAATTGCCCAAATTGAAGAGCATCTACAACAGCTCCAATGTGTTGATTTGTGATTCCATCCAAAGTTTGAGGATTTCCGCCTATGAGAAACTAAAGAGGAATCCCTCTAAAATTTCCCTTGCTTGATAATGCCCAATCATCTCATTCTCCTTCCCTTAAAGAAATTGTGGTATTCCCAAATGAATGATGGGAATCATTGGAATGGGACCATCCTAATGCAAAAGACATCCTTTTACCCTTTTGTGAATTTTTGGAGATTCATTTGTTTCCATGGTAGGGCGCACCACAAATGTAAGCCTTTTAATCTTTAATTTTCCATTTCTGATTCAACTCAACAAGAGTTTTCATCTTTATGCTTCCTTTTTCCACTCTTTCTATCTTAAGAAATCTTTCTCTCTCTCATTGGCAGCAAAATTGGAATTCAGCTCTGTAACTACAAGAAAGTCGAAGGAAATCACATTTGCATTTGTTGTTATTGCTGTTGGGTTTTCAATTTAACATAAACTTATTATTCTTTGTTTTTTTTCTTTTTCTATGTCTATATTGTGTGTTTAAATGTGTCAAATTCTAAGTGGAAAACTGAAAATGTTTTGTTTCTTTATTATCTGTGTAGTGTTGTCTTTGAAACTGTGTGCAAAAAAAATTTGAAACTGTATTTGCTTTTCTTGTTTAATATGTATTTTAGTTTATTGCATTCGCATGTCTCTTCTCAAATTTAATTCAACAACATTATCATCATCAACAACAACCGAGACTGAGACTTACTTTCATCAACTATATCTACACACCCTATTACTTTCATCTTCTCAGAATCACCAAAGATGGAAATGGAATAGCATTCAGGTCAAAGTACACTCCTCTTCTTTTCTTTTCTTTATCAATCTATTTTCTGATTGCATGGTTTGAATATGTCTCATTAGTTAAAGTAAATTACTGGTTAAACACTGTTATTTAAAAAGAGAGTTTCTTAATGCTCATCCTTGGATGTTAGTGGGTTAACATTCATTTGTGGGCAGGCCGATGTTGGCACTGTGCTAGAAAAGCATGCTGGTGATGAAGAGCTACTGGATCACTACTTAACACAAGGCATATGCTGTTCCAATACATCATATTTGACACCCAATCCCATGTTGCAAACTTCACTCTTAAAAAAGAGCAGATTTTCCTATGACACATCAAATGATCAATTGTTATGTGGGAAAACACAATTCTTATGAGTGCGTTTCTTTTTAATCAAGCATATTGGTGAAGGCACTATATATACTAAAGACATGGCAAGACCTATTTGCTTCGAAATAATCAATATTCACTATTTGAAGGTGTTGGTATCAGAAAGAGCTCAAATTTTTCTGTGGAGAGCCCCAAAATCGGATGTCAAGTTCACTATAATACTACTTTGAAGAGGAAGAAACTGTCCTTGTCTCTCTTAAATGACCATGGGAAGGTATGAAATTTATAATACTATTTTGTAGAGAAAGACAGCGACACACTGACCACCACCGCACCAAATTAGTTGCGGTTGTGTTTCATTACATTGGTGATCTGAATAGGAAAGTGAAAGGGTTACGTCCAGGCAGGGTATTTGACTTTGCTTGGGAATATATCATGGATGCCTTTTTATAAGGTGCAATACAAAAACTGGAGTAGATGTCGAAAATGCATTTTGACAAGCTTAACTTAAAGGTACTCAAGTCCCGGCACTTTATTACATATTTTATGGCCTCATGTTTATTAGATATTATTACCCTTGTGACAAGTTTATGTTTTTTGTAGATGCAAAAGAGGTATAGAAGCTTATTGGATAATTTAGTTGTTTATATATTCTAACATTGTCCTGTTTTGATTTTTACAAATAGCTCGAACCATGCATGGTGATTTCTGCTATGTAAACCTGCGGTTTTATACTCAAGACTTTTCCTCATACATTCGACACTTTCTGTAAATTTACTGACACAGGCATGCAAGAATGTGAATATAATCCTCAAATAGGATATGATTTGCAGTATACCCATCTTTACGTTCACTCATTTAAAAAATTTAATAATGTAACTATGAATCAACCATTACTTGTTGTGTGCTGCCTGCTGCTTACCTTAGGGGCTTTACAAAAATCATGTTGCCACAGTTCCATGTGTATTGAGACAATTGCAGAGGGAACCTTTAGAGCTTTCTTTGTCCCTTTTAAGTAGTTTTCCTAAGTAGTTTTCGCTAATTGGTACAGTTTTGCCATTCATTTCCAGCTCTTGCTGCCCTACATCAAATTTGATTCCTAGTTTCAGTAGTCTCTATATTTTCTCTTAAAGGTACCTGCTTTGGCCAAGAAAAGATTGACCAGATTTCTGAAGGTCACTGCTTGCTTGGTTACATTTGAGCACTTTTGCTGGGTTACTTGTGCTAACTATGCTTAAAGGCTGTTAAACTGATCGATGCAGTATTTTATTTGTGGTATTGATACAGTATAAGATGTAAGAGCTTAAGAACTTTCTTTGACCTTTTTCTTATTTCTTTTGGTTTTGCCATTGATTTTCAGTCCTTCCTTTCTAACCTCTTATTTGACATTCATTTTCAGTCCTTCCTTTCTTTTGGTTTTGCCATTCATTTGGTAAAAAACCAAAACTTGACTTCAAAGGAAGTGGGTTCTCTGAATAAATTGGAAATAAGAGGATCTCTCTCGGCCCAGATGTTAAATACACTGTTTATGAATTCTATTGTCTTGTAAATAAAGGTCTCTTATAAAATTTTGTGGAATACAATAGAGTGCTTCCTGCTACAGAAATTATTTTAAGGTGTGATAAAGTGCTTAAAAATGTATAGAAGTTATTGTAAAGTAACAATATTGAACCGTTCTTTTATAGCTTTGCTACGGATGATAAATGAAATGTTTTGCATTTGTCTATGTTAGTCATACATCAAATAATACCTTACACCCTTAAACACATGTCAAACTTCAATATATATCACCTATCCTATCTAGTTTGTCTTGCTATCTGCAAAAAAAAAAAAAAAACATGACTCAAGATGAATCGAGGAACTCTTCCTCCGACACGGGCGGCCCTAGGAAAGAATCAAAAGATTTCAACGCATGGTGTCGACAGCTAGTCCGTGTCGGATTTTTGGATCATTTTACAATTTCTTCAATGGTGCTTACGGGTTCTTCAACTTTTGCTTTGTGGGTACTTTGATCCTTAAACTTTAAGTTTATTTCTTTAGTTCTTGACTTAACTTTTTTTCTTTAGAATATAGTGCTCAAACTTTTAAATAATTTACACTTAAGTCCCAAAACTTATATGTTTAATCATTCTAGTTATTTTCTGCACAAAAAATAAAAATTATATAAAATTTAAATAAAACATGTAAAACTATTTAAATAATTATAAAATTAAGGCTAAAGTAATAACAAGAATCATAGGTAAATTCATGTCGGTAATAGAACTGGTAAAATTATTGGCACTTGTAAGAAGTTCAATATAAAGATTATATGTCGAGGAAGACAGAGCAAAAGGGTTTTTTCCTTCTCTACCATTTAGCGTATCATCTCTTTTCCTCTTTAACATTGGAATAAAGTGAATACAAAATAAAAGAAAAAGAAAATTTCACCCTTTTAATTAAGTTTTTTTGCTTTCTAATACAAATTATATCGAACTATAAAATAAAAATTACTGAATAAAAAGAAGACCTATAATGTTAAGGATCATGCCTTTTATTTAACCATCTATGCTACGTAGTCTAATACAATTTAATTGCATAACAATTTTTCATTTTCAATTTAGATGGAATTACTTCCTCTTCTAACTTTGTTTTCAGATCTTTTGATTGTTACTTAGGCTACGTCTTAGTATGGTTTTTGGTTTTTTATTTTTATTTTTATTTTTTATAAGAGATTATAGAATAATTAAATATTTTGATAATTAAAATATCAATACTTTTTATAAAATTATTTAAAATATTAA